TCTAATCACATTTCAATGAAACTTGGTACAATAACATTGTGCAGACCTTATTAGTTTTACACTTAAATCTGTTCATATTAGTTATCTTATTTGCATAATTAGTTTTCTGCGTTTCCATCAACATCTCAAGTTCAAGTAATTTTAAATTAATTTTTAATGTGTCTCCAATACTCTCAGCACACAGGAGTTCTTTCTAAGCTTTCTTTGATTGTGAGAATACTTTTAAAGTACGTATAGATCGAGCTTAGGTCACTGATCGTGACTTAATTTTGAAAATTGGATGTAAAATTTTACCAGACCGACTCCACCACAACCATCCAATCATAGTTAGAAAAGTACGCACTTGTTTTGGAACTTTGTATCAAGATGGCAGGCGACAATGCCGATGCACCAGGCGACGTACGTGTGTTTTGCATGTATTAGTAGTCCGGGCATGGGATCGGACTCTGCTAAAACTAAACGAAACACAGAAAAATACCACCGAAATGAGGAATCTGAATCTGTTCTCTTACCAGCAAATAAAATGAACGAAAATAAGGTAATTTTATAACAAGAACAGTTTCATTTCGTGTAGCAAATTGCGTTGTATCCGAACGATGATTGCATCGTGTGATTTAAATTTATCACGATTTTCCTTGCAGTCAATATGACACTCGTCACCTTGCAGATTGCAATGTACTTCACAAAGTTTTTGGTACCCAATACTTGCAACATATATTAATTAAACAAGATATATTTTTTAAACAAGATATATTTTACTTTTGGTCATATTTAATTCCCCTTACCGCCTTGAATTTCAAATCGATTACATATCGAACTTCTGTACATGTTTTTTTTTACTCTACTGCCTTTCCATGTGAAAATAATGAGGTCATACTCATGTCACAATACTTTGAAGCTGATGCCATGTTGATGCCATGAGACTGCGAAGCTGAGGCCACGATGATGCCACAGCATAAGCGAGGCGAACACAACTTCAATTGTCAATGACGCGAAGCATGATGCCACAATGATGCGATGCTGAGGCGACAATGAAGCCATGCGTAG